AGAGTCTCTTGCTGTGCCTCTACACTTAGAATGTACCCCTCTTATACTATGGCTTAATTAAATTGCTTAAACAGTTGCTAAAACCCCACCTTCCACATGGATTCCTTCCTGATTTACTAAAATCATCATCTTCACTTTCCATTGGTGCTTATATACATATGAAACTTTAAAATTTACCAAATGTACTAGTTGGTGCCTGTCTCTGTCTTGGCATAGGTTTATCAATGTCACTGCCATCCCTTAGGAGACCAATTTCCCCGAAGCAGGGAATAATTTATTTAAAATAATCCATTAAAACACTTCCATAAAGAAGTACTGCATAAATAATACATATAAGCACCTGACTATATATACATAAATATCTTTTTTCCTAATCTGCACTATATCATGAGTGTTCATTTAAAGAGCAAATGTTAATGACATTATAAATAAGTGATGTTTCTTGTGAACTAAACTCTGCATATAGAAAAGGTAAATTTCATCTTCATGTGAAATAAAAGAATTCCCATTCCAAAAATGTCAAATCCAAAGTAGGTGATTATTAGTGACTATCTAATCACACTGCAATTGAGAAAAAAGGAAGTGGTAGGGCCAATTTGATAATTTTTTCTTGCAGTGTATACTCAAGTTCCTGCCACAATTATTTCTGATCTCTCTCCCAAGAATGTTTAGCTCAAAATTTTGACATTTTCCTTTATCTAATTAGATATATGTCATCCTCAGCTCTGGGTCCTATGAGGGGAAAAATTACTAAAAAGCATTGTACCTGTCAAAACCTTTTTACCTTATCAGATACATTATCTTTTGCACCATCTAACTTTTATACTAAATAGACCTTATTTCATAACTGCATTTTCCTCTTTTTAGGGTTATATGTAAAACGTTGTTTTTATCTTTGCTTTTTATGCCTAAAATAATGTATTTCATTTTCTGTTTTCTTCTTTTTTTTTGTATTTCATCTTCTATCCTCAAGATGGCTGAGTCATCAGGACAGAAATTAGAAGTCAGTGAATGCTTCTTAAAGAAAATGGTTTATAGTAAACAGGAAAGAACACAGCAGTTAATTGTGGGATGGTTTGAGAAGAGGCTATCCATAAAATTTAGATTACTTTAGGAATCACAATAATACAAGAATGGATGAAGCTAAATCACAGGGACCATAAGAGAAGAGCAACAAAGCAGGGCCTGTTGGTTGACTCTGAAAAAATATTCCATTTTATTTGATCCAGAATGGGATTGAGATCACTGGGAAAATGTCATGGAAGGAGCTGGCCCTAGAAAATAACTTTATCTTAGTCATGTGGATATTTTGAAAGGTTCTCAAAGTTGGCAAGGGTGTGAGAAGAAAACTGGAATTACTGGGGGTGACATGGACAAGGAAAATTAATAATAAAATTAATAATCGAAGCCTTAAAGTGTTCAGAGGTTTTCTGCTATATTTCAGAGGGCAAAAATATAGAGTCAAACAACTGCAGATTGTGACGTATTTCCAGGCCCTGCAAATGAATATATAGGAGCCGAGAAATAATTTTAGAGTAACAGACTGAGCAAAGATTAGAAAGTTATTGGCCTACTTTTCTACCTATAGCTTTTTAAAATAACTGCCTTGCTTTTATGTACTGTAAAAAAATTTTATGTTTTAAAATTTGGTCAAAACTTTAACAGGACTGAATGTAATTTCTAATTGAAAGAAGTCAGTTTCAAAAGTTAAATGATTTTGATTTTCTCTAAAATATTTTTATAAAATTCATTTTCAGGTCTATAAAATATTTTCAAATAGCCTGAAGTACCATCAGGATGATCTAGAATATAACTGCTTATTTTACTGACTCATGAGGAGTTCATATATTTACTGTAACTAACACTGACACTGTGTCACATCAAATTTTCACTGTCAATAGAAAATTTAGTGAGTACTGTATTTTACAAATAGAGTTGTGGTGAGCAAAAAATGCAAGTATTTCCTATATCTTTACCAATAATTAATATGTAGATTTAATATTTGTTTCCCTGAAATACATTTAATAAAAAGTAACAGATCAAAATGAATTGCAATATATAAATGATCCCTCATAAATAACCTTGAATATATGCTACCAAAGCTTAATAATCTTGTCAGTCTGTTTTTTCCCCTTCATTTCCCTCTCTCCTTACTGAATTTCTATACCACTTCTATAAATTGTGTGGAAGCATAAATATATGGCCATTCTATTCTTATGTGTTTAATAGTTCTTTTTCTATTTAGTAAAGGGAAAAGTACCCTAGAAAGAGCATAAAGCATGTACCTTACTATATAGAGTTATAACTATGAGTGGGGCTAGTTGAAAGCATATGTAATATGCTTTAAATATTAAGGGTGATGAAACTGTCACCCTGAAGAACATCGCTCTGAAAAACTCCCACCATGTTGCAGTTGTTCAAAAATTCTTTAGTACTGCCTCTATAACACTATACAGTATACAACACTAAATGAGGTTTAGACATTCCAAAGCTACAGCCTAAATTAGTTGACTTTTAAATGTTATTGCATCTGAGGAAAGGGTGACAAGTAGTTTTTAAATGTGTTTTGTAAAATCTATTTAGGGAAAAGTGTACAGAAGGAAAAATTAATTAGTCAACAGTGTAAGTTCCAAGTTGAGGAAACATTCCTTTCATCCAACATTTTTTTATCTTATTTTCTGATAATATATCAAATCAAATTTATACAAAGATTATGAAGATTTGGAAATTTCCTCAGTAAGCATTTTGAACTTGAAATATATATATATATATAATGACATCAGTTATTCTCTTCCTGTCTAATGTATACAAGGATATACAGATTCCATCTTGGCAACCTCATTGACCTTTTCAAATAGTTCTAAAATGCGTCACCAACAGGTATGAAAATCAGTTATTCAACTTGAATATAGCAGTCATTTAAAACCACAGCTAACAATGTTAGCACAACTTCAAAGAAGCTGCATTTTAGGCTGGAGAGCTTTTTAAAGGATTATTGTACTGGAACACTAATTATGTGTGTCAGAATATGTGCATTATATGTTCTACTTGGTTCAATGGACTTAAACTGTAGAGACAGGGGAAACTGCAAGAATGCACTGGGAGGGTAGGAGGTGAAGAAGATGGAGTATGCAACGCTCACTACAAGCATCATGGGAATTTGGGAGAGGTAGTCTTGAAGGTAATCTGACTCCCATGGAGCCAAGACAGCTTTGCTTTGAGAATTTCAGTAACAGACTCAAACTAAAGCAATCTTTTAGGCAAATTCAAAGAAAGGGTTTAAATTAACCATTCCTACTTCTTGCATATACCCTCCTCTTTCTTCCATGACTGAGAAACTGAGAAACAGATGTTTGTCTGTATCTGAGAAGGGGGAGGGGGTTGGTGGCCGGTGGGATCTAGGAAAACAGAATTTCAATAGCAAATATGAAAAGAGAAGTAGAAACAGAAAAAAGATGAGCCACTGCAGGACTTTGTCTTAGTCATGGCACCCATGGTACCTTAGCACAATGCACCGCACACAGGGGAGCAGTCAATAAATAATGAATTTGATTTAATTCAATACATTCTCATTTGTACTATGCTTTGCAGTTACAAAGCACTTTCCACATATTAGAAAAAGAAAACATGAAGTAAACGAGGGATAAATGGGCATATAAGGGAATAGAAGGAAAGCACATGGATAATGGAAAATCCACAAGAACAAGCAAGAAGCTAAAAAGGTTTGGAAAAAGAGAGAGAGAAAGAATGAGTTTCTCCCTATCGTTCTCAATCACTTCCAATCACTCCCATCTTTCATTCTAAAGTACCTGGATCTTGGAAAGTCTGCCCACAAAGCATGCCCTGAGAAGGGACTCCCTCCTTTTGGAAGGCACATTTTTCACAAATGATAAACCTTTAAGTCCCTGACTAATCTACTTTGTTTGTGCCTAGGAATAACCAGGAGCAAAGCTGTAATATCCCAAGTGTGTACAGAAATCATTTATTCATCCCGTTCACCCCCTATCAGTATTCCCAAAATCTTAGGAATCTGAGGGACAGGAGGTGGGGGAGCAGTGGTCATGAAAAGGGGGTTCCTCTACAGGCCCCTTAACTCAGACAACAGAGGGAGATAGTGAGGCAGGAAAGCCCAAGGACTAGAGAAAAGCTCATGACTGCAACTAGGAGGGCTAGCGTCTCTAAGTATGGTTCTTAGAAATTGCCAGGGAAAAGAGGGGGAGAGACTTCAAGATGGAAGAAATGAGGAATTCGAATGCACATCATCTTATACCTGGCGTAGAGCCCCCAAGCAAAAGCCCTGAGATCCAAAGCCTCAGCCAGCTACAGAACAGGAGGCAAAGGACGCAGGGGATGCGCTGGAGGGAGCCCACCAGTGCTGATGCTGTCCCAGGGGAGCCTGTTTCACTCTCCCCAAAGTAGAGCATCCCCCCAGCATCTTCAGCCCAATCTAGAGTAGAGAGGTTGCTTCCCAATCCAAACTGGGGCGGCCGCATCCTGACCCCATTATGTGGGCTTAAAAGTTGCCAGGAGAGTTGGAGCTGGTAGGGGCAGCCGCCGTGGGGGCGTCAGGTTTCGAAGGAACAAAGGGGCTCGGGAAGGGGCGACCAGTGGAGCAGGTCCCTTGGGGGGGTCCTCCCTAAAGGAAGAGACAAGGGTCGTCACGGCCTCCCAGCCTGGGGGTGCCAACGGGAGCAGGAAAGCGGGCAAGATGCGTCTGGATTGCGCTGGGATACGGCCGCCCCGTTTCCAGCCTCCAATCCTCCCGCGCTCTCTGCGCCCCTCCGGCTCAGGAGCAACCGGCTAAAGACAATAGGAGACCCGGATCCAGAGCTCCTACCGGCCCTGGAGGACCCCCACTGTCCCCGCCTCCCAGCCCTGAGCACTACAATCGGTGGGTGGGAACCCCAAGGTGGGTTTGGAGATGATGGGCTCCCCTTCCTTCCCCCATGCCGGGACTCCGCACCCCAGGGCCGCTTAGCCCTCTGCACAGCAGGCATTACCTTTCATCCAGTCCACTACTTGACTCGGAGACCATTTGCTCACTGGTTCCATGATCAGAGCCATGGGCACTGGATCGGTTCGGCGAGGGGTGTACAGCCCAGACACAAGACGAACTCAGCAGCCCAAGCCGCCCTCAGGTGGGGTCCCTTGCTGACCGCTGCCTCGCTGGGCGGGCAGCTCGGAGAAAGCGGCTTTTGTGTGTCGGGTCTCTTGGCTGCAACGTCTCTTAGCACACGGCGGGCAGCAGCCGTTGGAGCAGTGATTGGGAGGGAAACGCCCCGGGGTCTCAGCTCCTCTTGGTCTCTGCTGAAGCACTGGCTGCTCTGCTACTCCGTTGGGGTCTCCGTCCCTCAGGGCTTCAGTTCATGGCTTGCACTGCCGAGGGTCTCGCAGCTAAGGGAAAAAGCCACCACTGCCGCACGCCTGCAGCCAACTTGCCCGCTCGCCTCGCGCGCGGGAGTGAAGCCCCAGCACGACAAGCTGCCCGGCGGAAATGACGAGGGGCCTCCTGCCACCCAAAATATCTCTCTGCAGCCCTCGGGTGCGAGGCGCGCGCTCCTCGAGCCCCCCGCCCGCTCACACAGCCGCGCGATCCCGCCCCCGGGGAGGACTGCAGGCACGCGAAGCGCGTGCGCGTGCGTGCTCCTGCACGAGGCTCGAGACCGGGTCGCAGTCAGTTAGGCAGGTGCGGGCGGCTCTCAGCCTAGCGTTCCCGCCCCGCAGGCCGCCCCGGGACAGAGGCGTGTGAGGAGCGCCTGCGCGGAGTCGGCAGCGTTGGCGTCTGCGGCGCAAGCCTGAGCTCGGGTCAGTCAGTCAGGTGCCTGCAGCGGGAACGCAGTCCCAAAGGGCCTGGGAGCTGTTGCTACGGCGGCGTGAAGGGCTGCCCACCAGTTGCTGAGGCAGCTGTGGAGGTACCTGCGGCCCCGCCAACGAGGGGTGGGGGACCCTGCTGAGCACCGGGTTACTGCTGGAGCCCGGGCTTTCCTGGCTCCCGTCCTCCCTGCTGCTGAGTGGGCTCCCAAGGTGGTTCCCGAGGCCCGAGCACGCCTTTGGAAGAGGCGTGGAATGCCTCGGACTGCTACTGGGCTCTTTTCTGCTACCAGAAAAGCCGCGATGACGAGGCAGGAGGGCCGGTGCACGCAGCCCGAGACCCGCTGGTGCAGTCTTGATACCAAGACAGGTCGGGCCCACGTGCCTTTTGAAGGGCTCTCTGTCGTGTTTTCGGCCAACTCCTCCAACAATGAGAGTGCCCAGTACCTCTTTTAGAGGATGTCCTTTTGTTTTCAGATATTCTTATATAAGAACTAAAGGGGAATACTGAGATGTAAAATGAGTGACAAATTGAAAACAACGTGATTCTTCAAAACTTATGTACTTCACTTACACAGGTTACTTATATAGATTGTAGTAAAAGTTCACCTAATGAGGCTTCACTTTAAACCACAAATAATCCTGGAAACTATAGGTACAAACTCTCTACCACCACATAGATATTTTCTCTTTGTCATTCTTAAATAGCTCCATCGAATAAGCAGAACCTCATTTTATTTCTACAACCATTTAAATAATGTTAATAGGTTTTGCCAGTTTCTGCAGTAACCCATTTTTCCTCAAGTTCAATTGCATGAGATACATAACTGCCACTTTTCTCAGCTGGCATGAATTGACATACCCCCACCCCATCTTAACCCCACACAAAGAACTGAAACCCCAGTAGTTAATTTTTTTTGTTGTTGTTTTGTTTTGTGGCTAGGGATACAAACCAAGTAAAATTTAAGATGGCCCGTCTGTAGACTTGCTTAATTTTCTAATAATCCAAACTTAAAAGTATATGGCAAATTCTGTATGTTTTAAAAAATGTATTTATTTTTAGAGAGAGGGGAAGGGAGGGAGAAAGAGAAGGGAACACGGACCATCGCTCGCCCCCAAGTCAAGGCACTGAACCAGTGACCTTTTGGATTGCAGGGCCATACCCAATCCACTGAGCAATAGGAGTCAGAGCAGTATATGGCAAATTTTGGAAAGAAGCTTAGAAAATTATCTAGACAAGTCTATGCTCATAGGATATAGTCATACTGCATTTCATAATCTTGGTTATGGTTGTGATTTGCAATTTTTCCTTGGCTAACCAGGCATGTAAGGTATTTTGGAGTGCTAACCTTGAAACTGAGTCTCAGAACATTGAATTAGTATTTCAAGAAAAGATAATTTCCAGCATTAGTAATTTATAGAGTAGTTTTATGTTCAGAAATGCAATGAAATGGATGCATTTTGAGTCATTAGAGGTTTCAGTCATAGGGAGATGTTAAAAGTAATTTTATCAAAATAATGCTGTTAATAATGATATTTATTGAGCACTGTGCTAAGTACTTTAAACACATTCTCAAAACAGCTCTATCATTAAGCACATTTTACAGATGAGAAAACCTTGGTTATCATATTCAATTCCTATCCCTAGAACCTATTACACATAGTTCAATAAATGTTAAATAAGCTGATGAATATGACTTAAAGAGGTTAAATAATTTGTCTGAGGCCATGACATGTGATTTTAATACCACATTAAGGTGATTCGAGAATATGAGCTTTTAAAACTGATAAGAAGGGTTTGTATCAGTGTTGCAAAAAGAACAGTACTTTGGAGGGGGAAGGCCCATTGAATGTTATCAGAAAGTTAATTACAAAGGAGTCTGAAAATGTTATCAGAAAGTTAACAAAGGAGTCTGAGAATCACTGAGTGTTTCTGACCAGTACCTAACCAGCAATGTAGGAAGTGATCAAATTTGGCTGAAACGCCAAACTGTGTATCCTGACTTGGCTTGCATGACAAGCAACAAGATTTTTCATCATATTGCAAGCAAGTTTAAAAAGAGATGTTTACATAATGAATGTAATATCAATCAAAACAAATGCCAAAGAAAAGGATACAGTAAAAATAAAAAAGATGTGTATTTCAAGAAAACACCAGTGCCAAAGAAGATGGGGAAAAAAAAGAGAGAGGATTTTGAGGAACACCCTAGATCAGAATTAAGTTGTATATGTTCTCTTGTTTATGTTACAATAAGGAATTTATTTAGTCTACTCAACTGAAATCACTATAAAAAATCTAAAATCTAAGAATGACTGAGCCAAAACGTGGGTGTGGAGTTATATTATCTAACAGAATTCACCAAGACTGCAGGTATTTGCCCTAAACCCTCTTCATTGAGGTTTTTCCTACAAAACATGCCAAAATAAAAATAAAAAAGTTGTCTTTGGTATTGACAATATAATTGGCATTATTTTTCTTAATTTGTTCAGAATATAACTAGCTTTTCACTCTAACATTCTTTTTTTTACCTTTTTTTGAATCCTCACCTGAGGATATGTTTATTGATTTTATAGATAGAGGAAGAGAGAGAGAGGAAGGAAGGAAGGAAGGAAAGAAGGGAGGAAGGAAGAAGGAAAGAGAGAGAGGGAAAGAGAGAGAGAAAGAGAAATAAGGAGGAAGGAACAAAAGAAAGGCAGAAAGGCAGAAGGAAGGAAGGAGAAAGAAATGTGAGAAAGAAACATCTATTAGTCACCTCCCATATGTGCCCCAATATGGGATAGAACCTGCAACCCAGGTATGTGCCCTGACCAGGAATTGAACTTACAAACTTTTTAGTTATGAGACAGCATTCCAACCAACTGAGCCACTCGGCCAGGGCTCACTCTAATATTCTTTTTTTTTTCAAAAAATCACTCTAATATTCTTGATTTGGGGAAAATAAATATAAAAGGATTAAATAACCATTACCTTTACACTTTTATTCTTAACTCCAAATGACAGGTAAATATTTCCTGTATTTTCTTTCCATAACTTTGCAAATAAAGTAGCTTTTAGATTCTTTTGTCTATTATTTAAAATGTTAATGTCTTGCTCCATTTTTGTAAGTATAATATAATGTGATTATATACAAACTTCGGCAGCTTAATTTTGCCCCATTTTTATAAGAGTAGTATAGCATGATTATATGCAAATTTTGGCAGCACTTTAGTTTTGCCTTTTCTTAATGCACAATACAATCTGAAAGATTGGGGGTAAAGGTATGTTGTCATAAAATACATATCAAAACATAACACACTAAATGACATGATGTAACACATACTTCAACCATCTAGATATAAAAGCCAAAGTGATTTTTTTGGAAGCTGACTTGGATATTTTGGAAGCAGGGAGAGGAGAAGTATTAAATTAGTTAAATTAGTTGAAGACATAAAATTAGTGAGGTGTTTGCAACCATATCAAAATAAACAACTTTAATCATCTTTTAATTCAGTTATTATAGTTTTGTCCTTTTTATTCTCCCTCTAGATTTCAATAAGAATTAAAGTCCCTTGATCAAAATATTTCCATTTAAGATTTTATAGTATATGTAATGAGACAGTACTTCAGATGTGGAATTTACAAAGGTCCTATGACTGGTGCTCAATGGATCTCTTAAGGATTTGGTCAGAGAGGGAGGAGCATTCCATTGGAACAAGGACCTTCAAGACGTTTTCTCTTTGGGGCCAAAGATGAAAGTACATAATGTGGATGTTTCTTTTGGAGCTGCAAGCTGAATATCTCTAACCTCCACATTTTCCAACATAAGTTATTTTATAGTGTCCTTAATCTTTATTTCCCATTTGTTCTGCTAAGAAGCTTGCTCTGTGTCAGACCTCAGACTTGCCATGAAAGATATATTTTAGTGTTTTTAAATTATTTAACATTTAGACAAAATGTCTTGCAGAGTTCTGGTGATTTTCCCAATTTGGTTAGATGGTGTTTTTGCTATAGCTACCTGTTTAGTTTTGAGTTTTCTTGCATTTTTAATGAGCAATATTTTGTTGAAAATTATTTTTCTCTCTTTTATCTTTCATGTTTCAGTGATTAGTAAGTACTGACAAGACAGAGAAGAGTTATGAGGCTAGTCAATGTCCTAAAGCAGAAGAAAGGCTAGGAGCCCTCTTTTTTTCACTTAGTTTTGCCCAGACCTTTCCTATAATTTTAAAAGCAGGTGTTCTCTGATGGACAAGTTGTATATCTCATTCAGAAAAAATTAGCTAAGAAATTGTGATAAGACTAGTAGTGACAAAGACAAGTTATTCTCAAGACAATATGTAAAACTTGCTTCAGAGAAAGCTTAGCAAAATTTCTGGAACAATATTTTTATTTCCTTGCAGTGTAATTCAACTAACAGCTAGGAGTAAAGAACCAAAGCTTCTGATGTATCCAATGACTAGAGAGCCATCTGCCTATGCCCCCAATAGTCAGAGAAGCAAGTAGGAAGAGACCTTTAACTATAGAAGGGCCTTCAGTGTGCTGCTCTAGGCCAAACCTCACTTTAGATTATCAGGGAAAAGCACCCAGAGACTATAATTAAATTAACAGAATCCTTTCTTTGCTGCTCTGCCTCTAGGGTAAACTGCATTAAATCAAGTCATGTCCTTTCCAGACCAAGACTCACAGCAATCATTTCTGGGTGAAGAAAAATTGGCTCAAGTTGAGGTCATCCCAATGGGGTTTTAAAGGGCTCCTTCCAGGTATTCCCTGCTGTATTAATC